TTTAAATAAAATTCCACCTGACAACAGAATACGCTTCCCTTTCAAGCACTAATGCAACATTCTCCTGTATGCTAAGAAATAAATCTGGCCTCAATAAATTTAAAACAATTGAAATCATACAACATGTGTTCTGACCACGACCACAAGAAAACAGAATCAGAAATCAACAATAAAAGAAACTTTAAAAATTAACAAATATTTGGAAATTAAAGAACATTTTTCTAAATAACCAGTGGCTCCGCAGAAAAATCACAGAAGAAATCAGAAAATGAATTAAACTGATTAAAAATCAAAACAAAGTGTAAAAGGTTATAGGATGAGGCTCAAGTAGTGCTAAAAGAAAAATTTATAGTTGTAAATACTCATGTTAGATAAGAAGAACCATCTCAAGTCAGTAACCTAAGCTTCCACTTTAAGGAATTAAAGAATTAGATAAAGAGCAAAGTAAATCCAAAGCAAGCAAAAGGAAAAAAACAAAGTTTAGAGTGGAAATCGATAAAATAAAATAGAAAAAACAAAGAGAAAGTAATGAAACCAAGTTGGTCTTTTGAAAAAATCAACAAATATCAAACTTTTAGACAGACTGACCAAGAAAAAAATACACCAGATACAAATTACCAAAATCATGAATGAAAGAGGGGACATCACTAACATACCCATAGAAATTAAAGGCATTATGGGGGAATACTATAAACAATTTATGCCAACAAATTACATAATTCAGATGAAAGTTCCTAGGAAGGGACAAGTTACCAAAGGTGATTCAAGTAGAAAGGGAGTATCTAAGAAGATATTCTCTTGTTAGACCTACAACAAGTAAATAAACTGAATTAAAATTTGAAATCTTCCCAGATCAATTGCAATACTAGGTATACACCTAAGAGAAATGAAAAGGTATGTCCACACAAAAAACTTATGTGCCAACATTCATTAATGGCATTATGCATAATAACCAAAAGGGAGGGACAACCCAAATGTGCATCAACTCATGAATGGATAAACAAAATGCAGCATATCCTATAGCTATGCAAAGGAATACTACATAGCCACCAAAAAGGAATAAAGTATTGGTACATGCTGCAACATGGATTAAATCTGTAAAACATTATGCAAAGTGAAAGAACTCAATTCTGCTCACAACAGCATCAAAAGAATAAAATGCTTAGAACAATTTTAACGAAAGAAGTGTCAGACTTATACACTGAAAATTGCAAAACACTGCTGAGACTAATTAAAGAACACCTAAATAAATGGAGTCATTTCATGTTCATGGGTTGGAAGGCAATGTTGTTAAGATAATATTTTTCCCCAAACTGAACTATAGATTTAATACAATTCCAACAAAAATTCCATCAGAATTTCTTGTTCATATGGACAAGCTAATGCTAAAATTTTTATGGAATTTCAAAGGATTCAAAATTACTACAATAATTCTGAAAAAGTATGAATAAAGTGAGACAACTTACACTATCTGATTTCAAAATTTGTTATAAAGCTACAATATTCAATACAGTACTGTTATAAGAACAGGCACGCAGATCAATAGAAGACATCAAAAGTCCAGAAATAAGCCATTACATTTAGTCAATTCTATTTTTAGCAACAATGCCGAACTAATTCAATGTGGAAAGGATGGCCTTTTCAACAAACAATGCTGAGACTATTAGATATTCATGTGCCAAAAGACTAATTTAGACTATTGCTTCACACAATATACAAAAGTAACTGAAAATGAATAAGAGACCTAAATGTAAGACTAAAATGTCTAGAAAAGAACACAGAAGAAAATCTGGACTTTGGGTTAATCTAAGAGTTCTTGGATATGACAAAAAAAAGAGAGCATGATTTAAAAAAAAGAAAAAAATGATAAATTATACTCCATCAAAATTAAAAACTTCTGTACTTCAAATGATACCATTAAGAAAATGGACAAGCCATAGATTGGGAGAAAATATGTGGAAAGCACCTATGTAATAAAGAACTTGTATCCAGTATATATTCAGAACACTCATAAGTCAATTAATAAGAAAACCCAACCAAAACTGGACAGATTTTAACAGATATTTCACCAAAGTATATGAATAAGTAGCACATCAAAACAAGCTCATCATTATTAGCCATTAGGAAATGGAAATAATACCACAGCGAAATACCACTGTACACATACTAGAACAGATACAAATTTAAAATTCATACAATACTAAGTGTTGGTGAAACTGAGTAAGAACCAGAGCCTTCGCACTTTGCTGGGGAATCTAAAACAGTACGGTCACTCTGGAGAACAGTTTGGCAGTTTCTTAAAAACAAAAACTTATCATAAGACCCAGCAAGTCCACTCTTCAGAATCTAGAGAAATAAAAACATAGATTTGTACACAAAGATTTGTTGCCAGCAATACTAGACAGAGACCCAAAAAACTGAAAACAAACCAAACGTCCATCAGTTTGTCAATGGATAAACAAAATGTGATATGATCTATATAACGGAATACTATTCGGCAACATAAAGAAATAGAATACTGATACATGATAGAATGTGGATAAAACTCAAAATGTTGTATGAAAACATTAAGTGATCTTTTATCACATATTGTGTGATTCCATGTAATTGAAATTGCCTGAAAAGGTAAATCTATAGTCAGAAAACAGGTAAGTAGTTACCCAGGGATGGGGCTGGGAAAAGAGATTGCCAGGAAAGGGGCACAGAGAAACTGTATGTATGCATTTATACCCATAAATACCCAGCAAAGATACATATGGAAAGGTACAGATGAAAAAATGTGGCAATATACTGTTAATTTTTTTAAGATGAGTAATGAGTAACAGAGGCTCATTATAGCACTTTACAGCACTCCTTCTACTCCTGTGTGTGTTTTAAAAAATCGTATCAATTGGCTATGTGGTCATCTGCAATGTGGTATCTACCATCAATGTTTTTCCACAAACACACATACAAAGAAAAAAACCAAAACCTACATATGTCATTATAGAACACCTTGTGACCTGGCTACCCAACAACCTCCGTTCGTATCTTCACCTGCAATCAGAACTAGAAAGCTAAAAGAGTCACCTACACAGGCTTCTCTGAAGCTAAGAACAGTCCTGTGACCCAGTTCTGGACTACTGGATATAAGAAGGTCTACCTCTAGGCAGAAGTTCTAGGAAAGCTTTTAAAAACTGGCATGCATTCATTCATTGGCCTCTTTCCTTTCACACCCCAAACCAGGAAGCTAAAGCTAAGGCTCTGGGGACATTATTGAGCTCTGTTACCAACCCGGCTCTATCTTCCTCATACAACTTCCTGCTGTAGTAGACAAACCTCCTTTTTGTTTAAGCTAATATGGTAAGCTTTTTTCATTGTTCAGACATTGATACTACTGTTGTGATAATTCTGCCCAGCAGACTACCTAAGGTACTTCTAAAACATTTTCTAAGAGTAGCTGTCTTCTTTCTCTTCTGTCTCTCACTGCACAAAGCCAAAAAGTAAGTATTATCTAGGAGCAGTTATAATCAGGAATTGCCAGATCCAAAGGAAACAGAATGAACAGGTCACTTTTATTTAAATTGTGAAAAGTCTAAGATCTGACTTATATATTCCTATGATTTTTTTTAACCCTTTGCATGCAATAATTTGCAGGACTGCTTTTCACAATTTCTATAAAGCCATTTCCTTCTTGCTTAATAATGCTGCCTTTTTCTATAAGAATAGGCTCCTTGCAACAAGGATAGGGTTGTAACCAAGAACAACAAAGGGCAAATATTGTACCAATTTGATTTGGCCTTTTATCCTAAAGATCTGCAGTATACCATAAGCAAAGTCACATTCATCATCTTGGCCTACTTCACACAATAATGAAAAATTAAGCAACAAAGTCAATCACTAGAAATCTACTGTTTCTATAAACTTTTCTATTAATATTTCTATTTCTAAGTCATGAGTCTGTAATATTTTTTAAAAGATCAACTTTCTTCAGTAAATTAAAATAGGAAAAATAAAATAAAATAAAAAATATTTTCTTTTGGTAGATCCACTGACATCAGGAAACTTAAAAATCCCACTATTTATATACCTCACTGGCTATATGTTCTAACAAACTGCATTTATACAAATAAACTGCATTTATACAAAGAAGGAAAAAAACAAGTTTGGCATAATCACTTAGATTTTTTCTAGAAGTCTAAAGGCAATAGGAAAATTGTGGTCATTAAAGACACTGATATCAACTGACAACTTGCACAAGTTCAATGTAAAATAAATTAGAAAACTATTTTCAAAATGATAAAGAACTCATGGGATGCCCAGGTGGCTGGCTCTGTGCTGTTAGCTCACAGCCCGAAACCTGCTTCAGATTCTGTGTCTCCTCTTCTCTCTGCCCCTCCTCGCTCACATTCTCATTCTCTCTCTCCTCTCTGTCTCTCTCAAAAATAAATATTTAAAAATTTTTAATTAAAATGATACAGAACTCAGAATGAAAATCTTATATTTCAAGAAACTGAAAATACTAATATCCAATGATTCTGGTAACATAATTTGTACTAGCCTACTTCTCTAGAATTGTATAGTGACCATTTTTGCTCTATCTCTAACACAATGTAGTACAATTATAACAAATTGAATATGAACTTATACTGGTTTCTATCCCAAAGAGTCTATCACTGAAAGACACCTCAAAAAGTAAAGGAAGCAACTGGAATTTCACGATTCTTAAATTTTTTAAATGTATTTCAATTACGATAAAGTGAATGGGATAATCTCTAAGCCCTTTGAACCAATTTTTTAAAACCTATGAATCAAAATTCTTATACATTTCTACACTAAAATCAGAAGATATGCCAGAGACATTTTTGTTTAGCTACTAACTTCTATTTATTTCAATGAGTAATTATATTCAACAGTAAGTGACATTGTATTAAAAAAAAAAACTTGAATCCTGCCTTTCTACAAATTAGAAAACAAAAATATTTAATAAAGTACAAAATATTTCAGAAAGACTATCAAACCTTGAAAAAATCTTCAAGCTGTTTACTGTTATAAAGAGCAGGGATATTAGCGGAGAACTGTAGCAAATCTTCAGCACACTGTCTTCTCTCTTCAATAACGGTTTCATCAAATCGTCCTAGAATGAAATAAGAATCAAGACTTAAGGAAGGAAGGATGAAACACCCGTTTGTGAGAGTTTACATTCAAAGATCAGAAAGAAGCAACAGGCTTATCGCTGCCTTACTACACAATCTTCTAAAGTCAAGGCGGCATAATTGGAGCGGTACTCTCACCAAGAAAGAAAATGTTTCTCATAAAACAAGAGGCAGAGGTGTCAAGTGATAAATCAGTGGTGCAGCCATAATCGAAGGCCTGTCGATGTAAGAAACTTAACATTTAAGAAGCTGGTGATTTGAAACTCAAGTTGAAAAGAGAATTATAAAGAACTGAAATGGTGTTCCACAGTAATTTAATACTGTAATTACTCATATGATTTTCCCTTTTCCCACTCTTTTTGATTTATAAAGGCTCTGAAGAGAAGAAATTATGAGAACATCTGTATATCAGTGGGGTCAAAAACCTCAGCTTGAAGCAAAAAGCTTTTAAGCCAAACTCCACGTGTGCTGCTGTCAGGGTACATGACAGCAGGCTTATGGGAAGAAAGACAGTACTCACAGCACCAGTGAGCTGATTTACAAGGTGATCGAAAGGTGGTTTTCATAGAAATTTTTTAATGCTACATGCAATTTGAATGCTGATAAGACATTTTAAAATATGATCATTTACTACTACTATTAGATCAGATTACTGGCTGGCATTTGTCACAGGCCATATATCATACTGATTGCAATACAGACTTAAAAAATACAAAATCAAAAGAGGAGCATCATCACATTTTAAGTGGCTCTGCAAAATGTTAACCGAAAACTGAGGCACAAAGAGATTCTTTGTTATATAAACCAAGACAAGAATCTGAAACTAAACCACTAAATACCCTCAATACAATGTGTCACATGCTTATGGCAAAGTGTCTACTTCATGAAAACTAACCGAAATGGTTTTAGAGTTAGACCTGGGTATAAACTCTAGCTCTATCACTCACTAGCTATAATACCTTAGATAATTTCATTTGTAAAATGGAGAATATGAACAATGTACTTAAGACTTCCAGTTCCACAGCAGGCACATAGCTAGCACTTGATAAATTAATCATGATGCCTCTGAATGTTCAAGTATCATCACAGTGTCTTGCATACAGAGCATGGTAATTAACTCATACTTGACTGTATCAGTGAATGGTGGAAATTTAGAAAAATTTTCAGAAAGAACTGTCTTTTAACAGTGGAACATTCTATCCTAGAAAATAGTCATTTTTCATTAATAAAATATCTTAACAGTGGTCCATACATAAACTGTTCAGCTTAATGGATGAGTTCCAAAGACAGCAATCCTACAAAATTCTACTCATGTGTCCACAGGTACATCTTCCTAGGGAACGACTCTGAAACTTTTATCAGTATCAACAAAGAGCCAGTAAAGGTTAATAGGCAAGTGGCACTCAATTAGAAGATCTCTAACATTCAGTACACTGCTTTATGTATACTATATAACAGGGTTGCCACTGTTGTACTGCCAGCCAGCACCTGTTCTTACCTTCTTCCTTAGTAAAATAATCCCCAATTTCTAACAGCAGACATGGCAGCCCCCACCCCTCGCCCCCAAAAAACCACTACATTCCCAGCTCGCCTTACAATTACCTGTGGACATGGACTAAGTTCTGGCCAACAAGATAAAATGCTGGGAGCCACACTGGCCTCGCTGGATGACAGTCACAGCGAGGAAATGGTAGCGTATGCACAGCTCCTGCCATGAGAAATGAAAACTGGTATCTCCTCCTGCTATTACTGGCTCATGTTGGAAATGAGCCTGCTCGTATTAACCAGGCCTCACAATATTCCAGATCAGGCCTATATTCCCCACACAGATTGCTCATAAGGAAAGGCATGTCCCTGCCTTTTCCGAAGATTTCAGATGAAAACATTGTGGATGATTGTTAAAAGGCTCTTCCTAAGGGCCTTGCAGATCCAAGACTTACATAATAAAGGCGGCTTGAGTCTAGCCCTGAGACAAAGAGCCTAATTTAGAGTAAGGGCAGACATCCCCCACCCAATTGTTTCTGCTTGGAGCACTAGTCGCCCCCCCCCCCCCAAGGCATTTGTTATCAAGTATTTGGAGTGACTTATTCTGGCCTTGAATATGCTGATTGTTCCCTGTGGAGGAACCTATTGAGGAACTTCTTATTTTGTGATTATGAGAGCAAAGGTGTTTCCTGAAAGATGTTTGACCCCTGCTCACTGAGAAGTAACTTCACCCTTTTATGCTAAAAACATTGTCTGATATGCTAAAGATACCTTCTTCCCCATAGGATAAGCATCTAAATCACCTATTTCACTATTGATAAAGGCTATGCGGGAGTCTTCTACAAATCTATGTTCTGGGAAATTCTTACATATCAAAGAAGTTTGTTATCAGAAATCATCGTCTAAGGCAAATGCCACTTCTGTGCCATCCCCCAAACACTTATAAAATTGAGCCCCAGTCAGAACGGAGATGCCTGCCTGGTGACCAGAAAGACCCTCGGGCCTCTCTCACCCCTCCCTCGCTGACACCGTCCATCCTTCAGGGACCCCTGGACCCCAGCCCAAGCCGGTCTCCGACAATAAGACTTACATTGTGGCTTTCTAAAAATCTCTATTTAAGAGAGAGCCTCTTCTTTTTCCTTGTACCTTTCTAGGAAGGACTGTGACATGGGTAAAATGACTGAGCAACAAGGCAGGAGCTGGGATTCCTGACCATTGTAGAGTTGCCGTGCCTAAAGCTATTTTCGAATCTCACACCATGAGAAAGGAATTAACCTCTGTCTGGTTTTAAGTTTTGTCATACGAAACCAAACCTAACATATTACACAAAATCTATGTTTCTATTAGTCCCCATGTCATATGCAACAATTCAAATAAACTCAATTCTCCCAATGAAAATCTAAAATGATGTGCTAGGGGGTGCCTGGGTGGCTCAGTGGGCTAAGTGTCCAGCATCGGCTCAGGTCATGATCTCAGGGTTCGTGGGTCCGAGCCCAGCTTCTGGCTCTGTGCTGACAGGTCAGAGCCTGGAGCCTGCTTCCGATTCTGTATCTCCCTCTCTCTCTGCCCCTCCCTGGCTCGTGCTCTATTTCTGTCTCTCAAAAATAAATAAATGTTTAAAAAAATGTTTAAATGATGTGGTAGCTTATCTATCAATAATATTATCTGGAAACAAACTTCCAAGAGCCCTAACCGATAAAGCAAATTTTCTGGCCTGCAAACAATCTAGGTTATTCAGTCTTGGGAAAAATCTACTGGCCAAACAGGTTAAAATAACAGTTAAATATCCATTATTCCTTCTCTTGTCTAAATAAGAAACTAAGAATACACTGGTACTTATGATTAAAATCCAGTATGTTTAATCTTTAAACAGAAAAGTTAATTCCACTGCCTGTGAATATTTTGTGAACATCTGTAATCTTAAAAAAATTGAGAAAAATCACAAAAAAATCATATTCTGTTTCAACCCACAAGACCACCTGATATTATCTTTAAGTGCATTAAGTACTTGTTGAGAAATTTTAATAAAAAACTCACTACTTTTTAGTAACACCCTAAAAAAATTATTTAGTAGCTAAAACAAATATGTAAGAATTTGGGAGCTTCAATCCTAAGTGTAATAATAATCAATGATTCATCCCACCTCCCTACTAAGCTAGACTAAAATACAAGCAATGAGTGTATCAACTTCTAAAGAGATTAAAGCACATCTTTGTTGTACTTTTATTGATCTATGCTTTTCCATTTCACTAAACTTAGACAAGCAGAGATGAATTAAAATATTTTTCAGAATGGAGCACAACCAAAAATAAAAGTTTATGTATTAAAAGGTTCAATACATAATCCTACCATCAGAACAAACACAATGAAAGAACATGCTCACTTCTTTGCTCCTAAGATATTTCAGAATAACAGTAACAAAAAATACTATTTGTAGCATAAACAAAAGAGAAGCAGATTAATTTAATCAAATAACTACTGGCCTTAATGTACTTAACAAAGCCACCTAATTTTAAAATTAAAAAAAAAAATAGCAAGATTCAACAGGCATCCTATCCTAATGGTAGCCAACCCCCTAGTGGCTATTTTCTAGTTGTTAGTCCTTTATTAGCATCTAAACCGCACTTGAAAGCAGCAACAATTAGAAATCATAAACAGGTACTTCTTTATCACCAATTTATATATCCATTCACAGGGTCAATGTTTATTTTTTTGTGAACAGAATGGAAAAACTATAAGTAATTTGCAATAGAGAATGCAAAACATACTTTTCATAAGAGGGTTTATTGTGCAATATTATATGTTATACACGATATCATCTGTGTGTGTGTGTGTGTTATATACAAGCCAGTCCTCCACCCCCAATTACCCAGTGATGCTTTCTTTATTAAAAGCTGTGGGAGGAAAAATTAAATTCAAACATTCGATTTAAGCTGGTAAATCACTGGAGCCTTATAAATCTCTTTGATTTATAAGCTACCTTTGGGATATTCTCTTTATTTTCCAATGTAGAACAACAGCCAGATATCAGAGCTTGCAACTTTTTAAAAATGCAAATGTCAACAATCAAAAACTGGTTATATGTAACTAAAGCCTGTCCTTGGCCAGTAAGAAACTAGCCAGAAAAAACTGATGCTGATTCTTAACTGAATCAAAAATTTATTCAGGGTAAAAACAAAGAGAGGTCAAGATTCTTTCTTTTTAATATTATTTTTAATTACTTTTTGAAAGAAAGAGCACATATGCCAATGGGGGAGAGAGGAGAGGAAGGGGAGTGTGGTGGACAAGGCAGGGGGAGAGAGAGAGGGAGAGAGAGAGAGAAAATATCTCAAGCAGGCTCCATGCTCAGTGCAGAGCCTAACATGGGGCTCGATTCTATGGCCCTGGAATTATGACCTGAGCCGAAATCAAGAGTCCGACACTCAACCGACTAAGCCACTCAGGTGCTCCTAGAGGCCAAGGTTCTAGGGTGTGAATTCTCTTCTAGTCAACAGCA